TGTTTAATGAATTTGAAAAATTTTGAATTTGTTTAAATACAAAATGTTACAATTGATTTCAATATAATTTTGCAATAGTTTTTCTTAATAACAATAAGCTAAGCTGAAAGAAAATGGATTACTATCAAAGTTTTTTTAAATTAACACAAAAATTTTAATAATTTTTAATTTATTATTAAAATTAATACAAAAAGAAATCAATTTTTTTTTTAACTTTTAGCAATTAAGGCCAAATAAGGGTTTGTGTGAAACTTTTTATTAAAATATTTTAAGAAAATTTTTAAATAAAAAGCCTTTTTTAAACAAAAAATTTTATAACAATTACTACAAGTTTTACATAATTTAGATTAAAAACAAAATTTTTAATTAAATTGTTTTATAATTGTACACAATTTAACATATATTAAGTTTTTTATTTAAGAAATATTATTTAAAGTTTATAAATGTATTTTGTTGTAGTTTTTTTTTTTTCGTTTGTTTTTAATATAAGAGTATAATTGGTTTTCAGCTGGGATATGTTACTAACGTTTTTTATTTAATAATAATTTCCATTTTTTTAATATATAAAACATTTTTTCGTTTATTATTTAAATAATTTTCATTTGAATTTGAGTTCGTTTTTTAAAGTTTTTGTTTGTTTTATAAAAAATCATATATCACATTCAAATAAAACAACTTAGGGGCGTGCTGGTGTTGAACAAAAGAACAAAATTTTGATATAAATAAATCTCTAATGAGAAAAAGAACTAATTGCCTTGCAACCAAAAGCGATCTTATAACAACAACTTTTTGTTTAGAACTTCCTAACTCGATCAATTTTACAAAGATAATGTAACGGTTTCAAAGGTTTCTTTCATAAAGATCGATATTGATCGATCTCAGCATAGATTTTTATAGAAAATTTATGTTTAAACGATCTCAGCAATATTTTTTGAATAGAAAACCATAACTTGATCAAGTTCGGCAAAGTTTTTTATTAATTCGAGCAAAAATTTCTACAGAAAACTTTGACCTTAATTGATCTCAGCAAAGACTGCTGAAGTAAAGTGTGTTTCGTTAAAAATTTCTCTAGAAAATTAAGCTTCAACTCGATCTCTGCAAAGTTTTCTTTACGAAATACAGCTTCGCTTCGATGTGAGCAAAGCTTTCTATGCAAATCACTGATCTTAAACGTTCTCAGGCAAAAATTTCTATAGAAAATTATGTTTGAGCGATCTTAGCAACATTTTTTTACAGAACTTCCAGCTCAATTACATCTAAGCAAAGTTTTCTAAATAACGTTTAAACGATCTTAACAAAAATTTCTCAGCAAAATTTAGTCTCGATTCGAGCTCAGCATAGTTTTCTACTGAAAACTCAACAACTCTAGGAACGAACTCGAGAAAGATTTCTATAGAAAGTTGTGTTTGAAAGATCGTAGCAAAATTTTTCCATAAAAAATTGATCCTCCATTCGATCTTAACAAAGTTTTCTATGGAAAACATCGAACTTGTTTAATCTTAGCAAAATTTTCTATAGAAAATTATGTTTGAAAGATCGTAACAAAGTTTTCTATGGAAAACTCGATCTTGATCTCTCTCCTTCTTTGCGTCTCGATCGATCTTTACGAAATTTTGTGCATCGATTCGATCTTAATAAAGTTTTCTATAGAAAAAAGATAGATCTTGTTCGATCTCGGCTAAATTTTCTATAAAAAATTACATTTGAACGATCTTAGCAAAGTTTTCTATGGAAAACATCGATCTTGATCTCTCTCTCTTTGCGTCTCGATCGAAAGTTTTCTATAGAAAACATAGATCTTTTTCGATCTTAGCAAAATTTTCTATAAAAAATTACATTTGAACGATCTTAGCAAACTTTTCTAAGGAAAACATCGATCTTGATCTCTCTCTCTCTTTGCGTCTCTAACGATCACTACAAAATTTTGATCATCGTTTCGCTCTTAACAAATCGATCGTTTCGATCTTTCTATGGAAAACATCGAACTTGTTTGATCTTGGCAAAATTTTCTATAGAAAATTATGTTTGAAAGATCATAGCAAAGTTTTTATGGAAAACATCCATCTTGATCTCTCCTTCTTTGCGTCTCGATCGATATCAATAAAATTTTCTATAGAAAACTGAGTTTCAATCGTTCTCAGCAAAGTTTTTTCTTATAAAAAATTGAATCTCGATTAAACTCTATTGATCTTAGCAAAGTTTTCTATAGAAAATCTCAACTTCGATCAATCGTCAGTTACGTTTGTAAGAAAGTTGTGTCTGGTTAGATTTCAAGAAAGTTTTCTTTAGATAATTGAGCATCGTTTGATCTCAGCAAAGTTTTTTTTTATAGAAAACTAAACCACAATCAATCTTAGCAATAGTTTTCTGTAGAAAACTCAACCGCTATTAAACTCAACATAGTTTTTCATAGAAAAATCTAAACCTTGATCGGTCTCCTACAAAATCTTCTACAGAAAATTGAACATCGTTAGATTTTAGTTAATTTTTCAATAGAAAACTGAAACTTGTTTGTTTCAACAAAGTTTTCTATAGAAAACTATACCTCGATCGTATGATTCAGCAATTTTTTAGATCGATCACAGCAAGTTTTCTAAAGAAAAATTTGAGACTCGATCGATCTCTACTATCTTTTTTTTATAAAAAATTGAGTTTTGAACAATTTCTACCAAATTTTCTATAGAAAATTAATTAGCATTTGATCTCTGTAAAGTTTTCTATAGGAAACTCTGTTCTATATTATTTACACAAAGATCATAGCAAAGTTTTCTAAAGAAAAATTTTGTACTCTATCGATCTCTACTATTTTTTTTTATAGAAAATTGTGCTTTGAACAATTTCTATAAAGTTTTCTATAGAAAATTAATTAGCATTTAAACACAGTAAAGTTTTCTATAGAAACAAACTTTTCTCTAAAAGACTGTTTATTGATCAATGGCGTGATCGTTAGTTTAGTAAAGTTTCCTGAGAAAAACTGAGTCTTAGTTGATCTTAGCAAAGTTTTCTATAGAAGAAAGTGGTGTTTCGATCGTTTTAAACAAAGATTTTTATATAGAACTATACTATATTTTAGCAAACTTTTCTATAGAAAATTACGTTTGAACGATCACAGCAAAGTTTTTTATCGAAAACATCCATCTTGATCCTTCCTTCCTTCCTTCTTTGCATCTCGATCGATATGAACAAAATTTTCTATAGAAAATCGTTCTCAGCAAAGTTTTTTCTTATAAAAAATTGAGTCTTGATTAAGCTCGATTGATCTTAGCAAAGTTTTCTATAGAAAATCTATATCTCGATCGATCGTCAGTTACTTTTTTAAGAAAGTTGTGTCTAGGTAAAACTGAGTCTCATTTGATCTTAACAAAGTTTTCTATAGAAGAGAGTGGTGTCTCAATCGTTTTAAACAAAGATCTCTATATAGAACTATGATTTGAACAAAAATCTCTATAGAAAAATGTGTATTAATTAATTTCAAAAAAGTTTAGTCAGTCTACAGATCGTTCTTTTAACAAAGTCTTTATAGAAAATGTGGCCCGTTTGATTTTCAGGAATGTTTTCCATAGACTATACCCTGACCACTGTAATAATCGTTCTTTTGCATAGACTTTACGTTGATCAGTGTACTGATCGTTTATTTAGCAAAGTTTTTATAGAAAATGTGATTTCAAGAAAGTTTTCTATAGACTTGACCATGATTTTAAAATTTACAGCTTCTATTGATCACAGCTTATTTTCTATAGAAAATTGTGCTTGATTCGATCAAAAATTAGCTACATGATCGAATCAATCAAAAAATGTTAAGGATGATCAATCTCAACAAAATTTTTTTGTAGAAAATTGATCTTCGATCGATAACAGTAAAATTTTCTATTCAAAAATGAAGCCACGATCGGTCTCAACAAAATTATCTTTAGAAAATTTTGAACAAAGCTTTATCTCAGTAAATTTTTTTGTAGAAAATTGTATCTCGATCAAAAATTTTAACTGATCGAATGATCTTTGAAAAGTTTTCTATAGAAGTTTGAAACTCGATCGATCTCATTAAACTTTCTATAGGTAATTTATCCTCGATCCTCTATCCCGATTGATCTTTAAGTAAAGTTTTTATATAAAATTTTATGTGGCCCGTTTGATTTCAGTAAAGTTTTCTATAGAAAACTAAAACACGATCAATCTCAGTAAAGTTTTGTAATAGAAAAAAACTATGTTTTCTATATAACTGAGCCTAAGATAGGTTTCTGTTAAGTTTTCTTATACAAAATCATGCCTAGAACGATCTGACAAAAGATTCTTTAAAACCAGTTGATCCTCGCTGGATTCCATTAAAGTTTTTTATATAAAATTAAGCCCCGATCATTCACAGCTAAGTTAAGTGTAGAAATCTAAAGCCTATAGCGTTCTCGGTAAAGTTTCTGAGAAAAGTTTTCTAAACATTAGAGATTTATATAAAAGAAGAAGAAGACGAAAACACAATAGAATATTTGCAGATGACATCTGCTTAGATCATTTAAAACAATAACAACAACAATGACAATAACTGCAGCAGCGTTGTAATTCTGTGCTAGAAAGAAATATAATAAATTTGAAAAAAAAAAATAATTTTTTTTTAAAATTCTTCAAAAAAGAGGAGTGATCTTTATGTAGCACAAGAAAATGATCATTAGCAAATGCTCTATACATGTAAACAATATACAAAAACAACATAAATATTGTGCTTTCCATAACGTAAAGTTTACAAAAATGAACAAATTGTTAAAAAGAAAGAAATTTTTTTTAATAATTTATATTGTTTTATTATTTACTTATAAATTAAGAAAAAAATTGCCAAAACAAAATAGAAAAAAGTAGTAGTAGCAATAAATAGTACAAGTAATAAATAACAACATAGAATAATACAAAAGTAATTAATTTAATTTAAACTAATTACTTCTGCAAAAACAAACAAAACTTGAGACAAAGACAATTAGTTTTGTTTTTAAATTTTATACACAAGAAGAAGAAGAAAAAGACAAGCAAATGAAGTAAAAAAGGGAAATAATAAAAATATTACATAGAAACTAAACACACAAAAAAAGTTTTTACAAAAAAATTAAATAAATAAGAAAAAATGTGGACAAAAACCTATAATTTGGAAAAAAATGTTTCATAAATTTCAACTAAAACTTAATAACAACATGAGTAGAATAGAGTGGAGTACAAAAAAAAACGAAAACATTTGTTCATTCTGTTAAATCTGTTATAAAGATGTGATCGTATGGCGGCGTGACGTGTTATGTGTTAAATTAACCTAAATCCTTTCAATGTTAGCGCATTAATAATGTTTACAAAAATTTATGAGATCCTCAAAAGCAAAATTAAAGTAATTTGCACTTGGTTGTTTTCTTCACATTAAATTTTTTTGGATAAGGAGGAGTTTGTTTTTCTTTCTGTTTTTCTAATGCTTCTTCTAAAGTAATGTTAAATGTATTGCGATAGCATTTTGTTGTTGTGTTCGTAGTTCTTTTAAAGCTAATACTAACTTTTACTTAAAGCTTTTTTCTTTCTTTGTACTAGTATATCATAGAAAGGATTATGGCTAATGGATTGTGTTAAACGTTTTATCCATTCTTGTTGTTCTTCTTCGGTAGCGGCGGACATACGATAGACAGTATGTTTACCCTCAACCACCTGTAAATTTGTAAAAAAAAATTAGTAAAATGTTTTGTTAATTGTTTATTTTTTAATAAACAACTTACCTTGCCTTCAGAATCAGTCTTACATGCTTTAATAATATCTGCTCCACCAGTAGCAAATAATTCAAAACAATTAGGTTTACTGCGATCATGAATTTCGCGAACCTGGAATGAACAATTAAAGGAGTTTCAACAAATGTCTTTATATCTCTATAGATTTTCTTTAGAAAATTAAGTCTTAATTGATCTCAGCAAAATTTTCTATAAAAATTTAAAGTCTTGAGCGATCTGTGTAGATGTTCTATTACATTTTTTATATAAAATTGAACCACGATCAGTCTCTCTAACATCTTTAAAGAAAATTGAGTTTTAATCGATCATTTAGCTAATTTTTTTTATTGAAAAATTTGATTCTAAATCGTTCTTAGAAGATTGTGACTGATCTTGACAAAGTTTTCTATATAAGATTGTGTCTCGATCAATATCAACAAAATGGTCTTTAGAAGATTCTGACTAATCGAATCAATATCAACAAAATTATCTATAGAAGATTGTGACTAATGGAATGATCTTGGCAAAGTTTTCTATAGAAGATTGAGTAAACTTTCTAAAGATAATTGATAGTCGATAATTGACTCGATCTATATAAGTAAATATTCTACTAAAAATTGTACCTCGATCGATCTCTTTAAAATTTAGTATTGAAAATGGAAATTATCATTAGAAATTTTACATCTACGATTGATCTCAGCATATTGTCTATAGAAAATTATGCTTGATTCGATCATTTAGCAAATTTTTGATAGAAAAATATGATTCTTCATCGATCTTTGCAAAATTTCTTTAAAAAAATGTTAAGGATGATCAATCTCAACAAAATTTTTTTGTAGAAAATTGATCTTCGATAGATAACAGTAAAATTTTCTATTCAAAAATGAAGTCACGATCGGTCTCAACAAAATTATCTTTAGAAAATTTTGAGCAAAACTTTATCTCAGTATATTTTTTGTAGAAAATTGTGTCTCGATCAAAAATTTGAACTGATCGAATGATTTTTGCAAAATTTTCTATAAAAGTTTGAAACTCGATCGATCTCATTAAACTTTATGTAGATAATTGATTCTCGATCATCGATCGATCTCACTAAACTTTCCATAGATGATTGATACTCAAAAAATACTTGATCTTTCAAAGCCAGTTGTTTATAAAAAAAATTTTGTAGAAAATTTATTTTCGATCGATAACAGTAAAATTTTCTATTCAAAAATGAAATAACGATCGGTCTCAGCAAAATTATTTTAAGAAAATTTTGAGCAAAGCTTTATCTCAGTATATTTTTTTGTAGAAAATTGTGTCTCTATTAAAAATTGTAACTGATCGAATGATTTTTGCAAAGTTTTCTATAGAAGTTTGAAACACGATCGATTTCATAAAACTTTCTATAGATAAGTGATCCTCGATCGATATAATTCGGCAAAGATTTCTATAGAAAATTGATCGTCGATCGATCTTACTAAACTTTCAATGGATGATTGATACTCAATCGATCAATTATGGATTTCATCAAAGTTCCAGCAGATAAATGATACTCGATTGATCGATATTTGCAAATTTTCTAACTAAACTGATGATTGCTCGATCGATTTCAGAATTTTTATAAAATTTGATTCTCAATTTGAATATTTTGAAACAAAAATTTATTCTTAATCGATCGTTATCAGATCAATGATCAAAATCAAATCGATCGATCTAGAATTTTTTATAAAAAAGTAATCGTCGATCAATTGACTTCAGATCAATGATCATCATCATTGAACTATTTATAGACAGTTGATCCTCGATAAATCTAATTCGGCAAACATTTTCTATACAAAATTGATCCTCGATCGATCTTACCAAACTTTCAATAGATAATTGATCGATTTCGTATCAATATCTGTAACTTTTCTAAAAAAAAGTTCCCTGATCTTTCTCAGAAAGTTTTTTTATAGAAAAATGTATCTCACCACAGTTCCAACAGATATCTGAACTAAATTGATCGATCTTTGCAAATTTACTAACAAAATTGATGTTCGCTCGATCAATCACGGAATTTTCATAAAAAATTTATCTTTAATCAAACAATCTTACGATTTTCTATAAAAATGTATCGTCAATCTAACGATCTCGGATCAATGATTATCAATCGATGGATTTCTGAGAAAAGATCGTCAATAGATCGATCTAGAATTTCTTATAACAAAGTAATCCTCGATCAAATGACTTCAAATCAATGATCATTATTCGATTGATATCTGATCAATGATCATTAATCTACCGATTTAGAACATTATATAAAAAAATCATCCTCGATCCATGGGACGATCGTTTTCATAATTTTCTATTAAAATTCGATCACCGATTGATCTCATCGACTTTTCTATAGAAGTTAGAACTTCGCTTGATCACAACAAAATTGTCCATAAAAAATTTTAAGAAAATATTCTTATTAAAAACTTTCAATCAAAACTTACCGATATATTTTCTAATGGTATTATCCCTCTAGGTTCCTTATCCGTTGTATATTCGAAATAATATAAACAATTGTCGTTTAATATAAACCATCTTCTTTTCCAGGATTTGTATCTGCCAAGTAAAAGAATAAATTTGGAAAACTATTTAAAAAACGATTTCAATAAAAAACTTACCTTCCACCCTGTTTCCATAGCCAACCCTCTTTATCGGGATTAAAGAAGGTGTGCATTAAATCGTTGCCATCATCTTGTGGTATTTTGAATGGCTCGGTTCGTATCGATTCGTATAGAGATTCGAGTAGGGTACGAGGCAAATCACCGCCGTTATTAATGCCACGATTCATAGAAATGAATTGTTCAACAGTGGGTTTGTCTTTGACCTGGGCAAGAGAAATAAAAGAAGATTTTAAATAAATATGGAAATTTTTAAAATAATAATATAATTCATTAAATATAAAATCTATTTTCCAAAGTTTTTTTTTTTTTAAATACATTTTTAATTTTTTTGCCTTTATGTTTAAATTTATTTCTGGCGCTTATATTTTCCTCCAAAAATAAAAGTCAAAACAAACACTACACTTTATGATTTATTAATTTATCTGTTTTGTTTTTTTTTATCCGTAACTTGAAAACAATACCTTTTAAAATACCGAAAAAGTAAAATTTTAACAGACTAAAAAAACACAAAAATGTTCAATCATATGCCAAGAAAAATTAAGAAATTCCTAAATGCACAACAGACACATTATGTGTATTCGCAAAAACAAAAATGAAAAAAATCAGCGGCAAGAAAATTAATTATGGCAACAGACGAGACAATTACTTAAAAAAACGACAAAATATTGAAAAAGTATTTCTGTGCATACCGCCAAAATAGAAATATCAACAAATATTAAGTAAATGAATTATGGAAGTTTTAGGAAAGGGAGATAAACATTCTCAAATTTTTCTATATAATATTTTATTCTTAATCGATCTCAGCAACTTTTTAATAGAGAACTTCAGCTTTGATCAATCTCAGCAAATTTTCATAAAGAGAACTTTGCACTGATGGGTTTCAGCAAAGTTTTCTATAAGACAACTAAGACTAGATCATTGAATTTTTACAAAATTTGAATTTCGATTAAAGATTTTTGAGATTAAGCTATAAACTAGGCTATAGACTAGACTATATATTATAGACTGGACAATAGACTAGACTATAGACTAGACTACAGACTAGACTATAAACTAGACTATAGACTAGACTATAACTATAAACTAGACTATAGACTAGACTATAGACTAGACTATAGACTAGACTATAGACTAGACTATAGACTAGACTATAGACTACACTATAGACTAGACTATAGACTAGACTATAGACTAGACTATAGACTAGACTATAGACTAGACTATAGACTAGACTATAGACTAGACTATAGCCTAGACTATAGACTAGACTATAGCCTAGACTATAGACTAGACTATAGACTAGACTATAGACTAGACTATAGACTAGACTATAGACTACACTATAGACTAGACTATAGACTAGACTATAGACTACACTATAGACTAGACTATAGACTAGACTATAGATTAGACTATAGACTAGACTATAGACTAGACTATAGACTAGACTATAGACTAGACTATAGACTAGACTATAGACTAGACTATAGACTAGAGTATAGACTAGACTATAGACTAGACTATAGACCAGACTATAGACTAGACTATAGACTAGACTATAGACTAGACTATAGACTAGACTATAGACTAGACTATAGACTAGACTATAGACTAGACTATAGACTAGACTATAGACTAGACTATAGGACTAGACTATAGACTAGACTATAGACTAGACTATAGACTAGACTATAGACTAGACTATAGACTAGACTATAGACTAGACTATAGACTAGACTATAGACTAGACTATAGACTAGACTATAGACTAGACTATAGACTAGACTATAGACTAGACTATAGACTAGACTATAGACTAGACTATAGACTAGACTATAGACTAGACTATAGACTAGACTATAGACTAGACTATAGACTAGACTATAGACTAGACTATAGACTAGACTATAGACTAGACTATAGACTAGACTATAGACTAGACTATAGACTAGACTATAGACTAGACTATAGACTAGACTATAGACTAGACTATAGACTAGACTATAGACTAGACTATAGACTAGACTATAGACTAGACTATAGACTAGACTATAGACTAGACTATAGACTAGACTATAGACTAGACTATAGACTAGACTATAGACTAGACTATAGACTAGACTATAGACTACAGTATAGACTAGACTATGGATTAGACTATATACTAGACTATAGATTAGACTATAGACTAGACTATAGATTAGACTATAGATTAGACTATAGACTAGACTATAGACTAGACTATAGACTGGACTATAGACTAGACTATAGACTAGACTATAGACTAGACTATAGATTAGACTATTGATTAGACTATAGACTAGACTATAGACTGCACTATAGACTACAGTATAGACTAGACTATGGATTAGACTATATACTAGACTATAGATTAGACTATAGACTAGACTATAGATTAGACTATAGATTAGACTATAGACTAGACTATAGACTGGACTATAGACTAGACTATAGACTAGACTATAGACTAGACTATAGATTAGACTATAGATTAGACTATAGACTAGACTATAGACTAGACTATAGACTATGACTATAGACTAGACTATAGACTAGACTATAGACTAGACTATAGACTAGACTATAGACTAGACTATAGACTAGACTATAGACTAGACTATAGACTAGACTATAGACTAGACTATAGACTAGACTATAGACTAGACTATAGACTAGACTATAGACTAGACTATAGACTAGACTATAGACTAGACTATAGACTAGACTATAGACTAGACTATAGACTAGACTATAGACTAGACTATAGACTAGACTATAGACTAGACTATAGACTAGACTATAGACTAGACTATAGACTAGACTATAGACTAGACTATAGACTAGACTATAGACTAGACTATAGACTAGACTATAGACTAGACTATAGACTAGACTATAGACTAGACTATAGACTAGACTATAGACTAGACTATAGACTAGACTATAGACTAGACTATAGACTAGACTATAGACTAGACTATAGACTAGACTATAGACTAGACTATAGACTAGACTATAGACTAGACTATAGACTAGACTATAGACTATAGACTAGACTATAGACTAGACTATAGACTAGACTATAGACTAGACTATAGACTAGACTATAGACTAGACTATAGACTAGACTATAGACTAGACTATAGACTAGACTATAGACTAGACTATAGACTAGACTATAGACTAGACTATAGACTACAGTATAGACTAGACTATGGATTAGACTATATACTAGACTATAGATTAGACTATAGACTAGACTATAGATTAGACTATAGATTAGACTATAGACTAGACTATAGACTAGACTATAGACTGGACTATAGACTAGACTATAGACTAGACTATAGACTAGACTATAGATTAGACTATAGATTAGACTATAGACTAGACTATAGACTAGACTATAGACTGGACTATAGACTACAGTATAGACTAGACTATGGATTAGACTATATACTAGACTATAGATTAGACTATAGACTAGACTATAGATTAGACTATAGACTAGACTATAGACTAGACTATAGACTGGACTATAGACTAGACTATAGACTAGACTATAGACTAGACTATAGATTAGACTATAGATTAGACTATAACTAGACTATAGACTAGACTATAGACTAGACTATAGACTAGACTATAGACTAGACTATAGACTAGACTATAGACTAGACTATAGACTAGACTATAGACTAGACTATAGGACTAGACTATAGACTAGACTATAGACTAGACTATAGACTAGACTATAGACTAGACTATAGACTAGACTATAGACTAGACTATAGACTAGACTATAGACTAGACTATAGACTAGACTATAGACTAGACTATAGACTAAACTATAGACTAGACTATAGACTAGACTATAGACTAGACTATAGACTAGCTATAGACTAGACTATAGACTAGACTAGGACTATAGACTAGACTATAGACTAGACTATAGACTAGACTATAGACTAGACTATAGACTAGACTATAGACTAGACTAGACTATAGACTAGACTATAGACTAGACTATAGACTAAACTACAGACTAGACTATAGACTAGACATAAACTAGACTATAGATTAGACTATAGACTAGACTATAGACTACAGTATAGACTAGACTATGGATTAGACTATATACTAGACTATAGATTAGACTATAGACTAGACTATAGATTAGACTATAGACTAGACTATAGACTAGACTATAGACTAGACTATAGACTAGACTATAGACTAGACTATAGACTAGACTATAGACTAGACTATAGACTAGACTATAGACTAGACTATAGACTAGACTATAGACTAGACTATAGACTAGACTATAGACTAGACTATAGACTAGACTATAGACTAGACTATAGACTAGACTATAGACTAGACTATAGACTAGACTATATACTAGACTATAGACTAGACTGTAGACTAGACTATAGACTAGACTATAGACTAGACTGTAGACTAGACTATAGACTAGACTATAGACTAGACTGTATACTAGACTATAGACTAGACTATAGACTAGACTGTAGACTAGACTATAGACTAGATTATAGATTTTACTATGGACTGGACTATAGACTAGATTATAGACTAGACTATGGACTAGATTATAGACTAGGCTATAGACTAGACTAGATTAGACTATAAACCACACTATAGATAGAGACTATAGACTAAACTATAGATAAGACTATAAACCAAACTATAGAGAGACTAGACTACAGACTAAACTATTGATTAGACTATAAACCACACTATAGGTAAGACTATAGACTAGTTTATATATAGAAATATTGTCTAGACTTTAGACAAAACAATAGTCCTCGTTACAGACTAGACTATGGTATTGACGACAGACTAGATTATAGTCTTGACTAGACTAGAGCCTAAACTAAACTTTAGGCTTGACTAGACTAGACTATAGTATTGACTATAGACTTGACTCTAGTCTTGACTATAGACTAGACTATAGACTCGACTATAGTCCTTACTATAGACTAAAGACCAGACTATAAACTAAACTACAGTTTGGACTATAGACTAGACTTTATTCTTGACTATAGATTAGACTATAGACTATACGATAATCTTGACTATAGACTACAGTATTAACTATAGACTATATTATAATCTTATATAGACTGAAATACGGACTGAATCGTAAACAATTGAATAGAGAAATTTGAAAATATATGCCTTTAGGCCTTAAAAATTCCTTCTAAATTATTTCATATCTTTAGTTCCCCAGTTGTTTTTTATAAATTTAAAATTAACTTTAAGGCAGGTCATTAATTAAGCAAACAGAGAGAAAAATATCCCTTTTTAAACTAAAACTAGAAATAGATAAAAACTGTATAGCACTTTTTTCTATTTTGTTTTTTTACTAACAAAATATTTATAAAAATAAATAAAAGTTGGGATGCCAGAAATACCAAAAAAGCACAGCATGACGCAGTTTTACACAATGTTTTCTTTACATTTTGCAATGAAAGGCAGCAAAGAGTGTGAGTACTTAATGATTTGGTTTGTGTAAAAATAACAAGAGCACACTTAATGTCTAGTTTTTTTTTTTTTTTTTTTTTTTTTTTTTTTTGTGGCAAAACGAAATAGAGACAAAAATAAACAATATTGGCACACGCTGATTTGGATGTGTTTTCTTTTATTTGTTGCAAAAAAAGAACCGAAAAAAGAAACTAAAATAAAAATTGGAAAGACATGACAAAATATATATTTAACAAATAAACTAAAAGTGTAACTATGTAAGAGTGGAGAAAGCGATCAGATAGATAAATTAACTAAATCATATAAAAGAATTTACGAAATGGTTTAAGGACCCCAAGGGCACTTTAAGCTAATTTTAAAGGGTTTTGAATGGGATATTTAATTAAGAATAAGAGTGTTTCAAAACAGGACATCTTCAACAATTACTAGAGAAGTTAAAGTGTGATACATTTCAAAAATGAATTCCTTTCCATATCTGCTTAATATTTACTATAAACAAGTAACCAAAACAAATATAGAAAAACATAAAAATAAACAGAAAACCTAAAACAGCATCCTTCCGTTATATTTATTTGTTTTTCCTTTTCATGTTTAATTCTTAAGGGAAATATAAATTAACCAACAATTTGCTGGCTGTTGAAATGGAGCACAGGATGTACTCTGCATTACTTACCGATGGATTATGCAATGATGTATTTAACATAATAATGGCAAAACTTAAAACATAACAGGTATCGGTATTGGTGAATATATCGGGATTTAATTGACAATAACGTTGAGCAAAACATTCCATCATCCGATCAATCTTTTGAGCTTCACCGGGCAAACGAAATGACCATAAAAATTGTCTAAATAAGCGGAAAAGAAATATTGATTAGATGGTGGGGAGTCATAGAAACATATTAAGAGAAGTGAAAACATACCTTAAAGCTTGTACCAGTATTAAATTTGTAAAGTCATGTAAAGCCACAAAGGCCTTAAGGACATCCTTATTGAAATCATTATTTTCACCTAAATAATCACCTGTAAAGAGAGAAAAGAAATATGTTAAATGAATTACTTATTTAAACTCCGGAAAAAATTTAGAAATTGTCGTAATAAACTGGTTC